ACTGGGAGGATATAGTCTGGTCAGATGAGACCAAAACTGAACTATTCGGATGCCATAATACACATCATGTTTGGAGGTCAAAATGGCACACTGCACATCACCCCAAAAACACCATACCAACAGTGAAGTTTGGAGGTGGGAACATCATGGTGTGGGGCTGTTTTTTAGCATATGGTACTGGCAAACTTCAAATAATTGAAGGAACGATGAATGGAAAAATGTACAGAGACATTCTTGATAAAAATCTGCTTCCATCTACCAGGATAATGAAGATGAAACGTGACTGGACAGCAAGACAATAACCCCAAACACAAATCCAAGGAAACTCTGAACTGGTTTCAGAGAAAGAAAATAAAGTTGCTGGAATGGCCCAGCCAATCAGCTGACTTGAATCCAACAGAAAATCTACGGAAAGAACTAAAGATCAGAGTTCATTGAAGAGGCCCACGAAACCTTCAACATTTGAAGACTGTTTGTGTGGAAGAATGGGCCTAAATCACACCTGAGCAATGCATGCVACTAGTTTCTCCATACAGGAGGCGTCTTGAAGCTGTCATTGCCAACAAAGGCTTTTATGCAAAGTATTAGATAAATTTCAGGAAGTGTGTTCAGTACTTTTTCCCTGTGCCATTCCAYATTATTACAAATAACTTCATTTCTGGACATGTATGGTTTGATTTCTTGGTATGTATGGATCATTTGGGTTGTTAGTGACTTCTGGTGAAAAATTTCATGTCATTAACACCTCTAGTAATATATTTACTGTGAAAAATGGTGTCATGTTCAATTCTCATTTTACCCGCTGTATATATATAGTGCAAAAAAATCCACCCTTTTGAAATGAAAGCTGAATGATGCTGATTGGTCAGGCCAGACAAAAGTCACCCACAGGCCAGATGTAGCTGCCTGTTTTCCATTCCTGGTTTAGGCAAAACACACAAAACATGTTGAAGCCAATATCACTGAATTACAGATTTACAAAGCTGTTCTAGTTGACACAAGGAGAAAAATATATGGTTTTGTAATGCAAGTTCAACAGAAAACTTCCTACTTTTACTTTTTTTACTCTTGAAATGGTCAGTTTGAAGAATTCTAGACTTGTAAACTTGTCCAAAATCTGCTTAGCGTTCATTCAGCGGATACTTGGGAATACAATGAAATGAGATATTGAACTTTTGTAATACACACTTTCAGTAATGTAGGTTTACAAATAAGGAGATGTAATAATCTTAAGATCTACCAACTGATTTGTTCCAGTTTAGCCCCACCAGTCTGATAAAAYAGCTATAAAGGTCATCATCTCTTTCAGTCACCATCCCATTAACTGATTCTTTATTTAGTTGAGGTCAAATATGCTTCCTGGGGTGACATTTTTACCAAGAGGTCATGTGTATAGGTACAAAATGGTTTCCCACTGATGTTGTAAGATTTAATGATGCATAAAATGTATTTTAAAGGTCTAAATGCCTAATAGATTTAAAATGACACTGAGTTTATTGTTGTGAAAAGATAAATGGTGGGCCTTAATGTTTCTGCCTGTGTAAGCAGCTGTGTTCATGTCTCTGGTACCAAAATATCTCATAATTTTAACAGATTTTGATGAAATTCTCAGAAAGTATTCACTGGACGGATGCCTACAACTGACTTTTGGAGTCAGTCTTATTTAAGATGACTGCCACAACGCAGTTAATGTTGTCTGTCTGTTAGCAAAATATCCATCCATCCATCCATCCATCCATCCATCCATCCATCCATCCATCCATCCATCCATTATCTCCTGCTTTATCCGAAGTCTGGTCGTGGGGGCAACAGCTTGAGCAGGGAAGCCCAGACCTCTCTTTCCCCAGCCACCTCTTCCAGCTTTTCTGGGAGGACTCCAATGCGTTCCCAGGCCAGTCGAGAGACATAGTGTCTCCAACGTGTCCTGGGTCTTCCTCGGGGTCTCCTCCCAGTTGGGCATGCTTAAAGCACCTCCATAGGGAGGCATCCAGGAGGCTTCCTTACTAGATGTCCAAACCACCTCGACTGGCTCCTCTCGATGTGCGCAAGGATATGTTTGGCATACTATCTCATGTGTTTAATGTTAAATTAGAACCAAACCCATTAGAAGCACTTTTCTGGGTTCTAGAAGATTGGATCTATTACAACAACTCTGCTAGACGTACTATAGTGTTTGCATTGGTTTTGACTTGTCCTGCAATCCCATTTAAATGGAAAGATGCCTCTCCTCCCTCTCAGTTACAGTGGATACAAGATATTATGGGTTGTTTTAAACTTGAAAAGCATCACTTAAATCATCTGATGATACAACTGAAAACTCCTGGGGTCCTTTCTTGAGAGCATTTTCAGCTCTTGGACAATGTTAACCTACAGTAATGTAACTAGGTTGAATGGAGCACCAATATAACTTTGGTAGTGATGGGGGCCTATTTTATTTAACTTTATCTTCTTTTTTGAATATCTTATAGCCTTTCTTGCAGGACTAAAATCGTCTTGTAATGGTTTGTTTCTCTTTTTTGCATTTCATTTTTTTCTGTCAGTTAATGCGCAAAAGGTCGAAACTAAATGTAAATTTCAATAAAAAATATTTTGAATATAATATTAGTGAACTAATAGAACTTTTTAAATGTACATTTTTCACTTTTCTCTTCCCATCATGTTCCTGCTCGCATCTCCACATGCTGCCACTGCACTTCTTTGTTCCTCTTCCTTTGGGTGTGTGCCTCCTTCGTAGTGTGTGTGTGTGTGTGTGTGTGTGTGTGTGTGTGTGTG